TATTGGGACATACCAACCAAATGCTCCCACTGTCAGGGCAGGTAACGTGAGCATGAACATAAATACCCATAGTAATTGAGTAACTGAAAAAACAGGCAATTGCGAGGACAAAAGACATAAATAAATGAATCGCCCGGAGCCTCGTTCCGCGGCGACGTCACGCTGAGGAGGGCTCGGAAGGAGGCGGTGCGGGCCCGTGGGGGACCCGCCAGGCGGTAGGTGGGACCTCCCCCTCGGATACGGGAGACGCTTCTGGAGGCTGAGGAGTCGCGGGGACAGACACCCTCTCGAGAGGACCGCGGAGGACGAGCGACCCGCGCCTTCAGGGGGACGGAGGGAGGGAGTTGAGTGACCCCTCAGGAGGGCTGAGGAGGAGTGGCCCGCTTAGGGCGCGTGAGGAGGGGTAATGAGCAACCCCCTGAGGGGGTCTAGGGTCTCCGAGCGGCCTGGGGGCGGGGCCCGCGGGGACAGTGTAGGTGGGGGGCCATGCTGCCTCAGTCTCTGGGGGCGGGGAGTGGGGGGGGGGGGCCTAACGCCGGGCCAGGTGCCCTAGGAGCCCTGAGCTGGAGCCGCGCCCCCTGTACAGTGTCCCTCCTGGAACGGAAGCCAGGCACATCCTGAGCCGGTTCAGATGCTCCCTTAGTTGCAGGACGGGGGAGGAGGCAGCCTGAGCCAGGTGAGAAAAATGGTCAAAAGGTTTAAGTAGACACTTCTTCAAAGAAGGTACACAAATGCTCAATAAGGATGTGTAACACATTCAATATCTCTAGTCACTAGGGAAATGCAGATCAAAATCACAATGACATACCTCACCCCACTGGCTTAGCTATAACTCAAAACAGGCAATTAAAAAGATGGCGAGGGTTCCCGGGCGGCCTGCATGGCTCAGTGGTTGAGCCTCGACCTATCAACCAAGAGGTCACGGTTCCATCCCTGCTCAGGGCACATGCCCAAGTTGCAGGCTCAATCCCCACTGTAGGGCTTGCAGGAGGCAGCCGATCAATGATTCTTTCATCACTGATGTTTCTATCTCTCCCTTCCTCTCTGAAATCAATAAAAATACATATTTTTATAAAAATGGCAAGGTTGTAGAGAAATTGGAAACCTCACATTGCTGGTGGGAAAGTAAAATGGTGCAGCCATTTTGGAAAATAGTTTGACAATTTTGCAAAGTGTTAAACAGAATTACCATATGACCAAGCAATTTCACACACACACACACACACACACACACACACACACCCCTATGTGTATATATATCCAAGAGAATTGAAAAGATATGTTCATGCAAAAACTTGTACATGAATGTTCATGGCAGCATTATTTCTAATAGCTAGCAAGTGGAAGTAACCTAAATTCCTGTCTACTGATGAATGGATAAGTAAAATGTGGTATAGCCATACAATGAAATATTTTTTAGCCATAAAATATATGCTAATATATGCTAAAAATATATGCAGCTATATGCTACATAAAAATATATGTATCATGTGTTGATACATGCTACAACACATGAACCCTGAAAACATTATGCTGAGTGAAAGAAGCAGGACACAAAAGGTCACTTTTTAAATTTTTTAAAAATGTATTTTATTGATTTCTTACAGAGAGGAAGGGAGAGGGACAGAGAGCTAGAAGCATCGATCAGCTGCCTCCTGCACACCCTCCACTGGGGATGTGCCCACAACCAAGGTATATGCCCCTGACCAGAATCAAACCTGGGACCCTTCAGTCCATAGGCTGATGCTACATCCACTGAGCCAAACTGGCCAGGGCAACTTTTTTAATTTTTATTGATTTCAGAGAGGAAGGAAAAAGGAGAGAGAGATAGAAACATCAGTGATGATAGAGAATAATTGATTAGCTGCTTCCTGCACACTGGGGATCGAGCCTGCAACCTGGGTACATGAGCTGACTGGGAATCAAACATGATCTCCTTGTCCATAGGTCATCGCTCAACCACCGAACCACACCAACAGGGCTAAAAGGTCACATCCTATATAATAAAAGCCTAATAAGCTAAGTGTCCGGTCGTCTGGTCATCCGGTCAACCAATCAAAGTGTAATATGCTAATGATATGCTAAAGCTGCTCAACTGCTTGCTATGACATGCACTGACCACCAGGGGGGCAGATGCTCCAACTAGTAAGTTAGCTTGCTGCTGGGGTCCTGCCAATCAGGATGAGCCAGACACACCCTGGAGCCCTCCTGTAGTCCCTCCCCAGCTGGCCAACCTCCTGAATCCCTTCCTGGCCCCAATTGTGCACCAGTGGGGACTCTCTGCCTGGCCTGCACCCTTTCGCAATCTGGGACCCCTTGGGGGATGTCAGAGATCCCGCCAGCCAGGCCGAGGGACCCCACTGGTGCATGAATTCACGCACCGGGCCTCTAGTATTGAATAAATTCTGTTTATTTGAAACATCCAGAATAGGCAAATCCACAGAGACAGAAAGCAGATTAGTGGTTTCCAGGAAAGGAGGTATTGGGACTGATAGCTAATATGTATGAGGTGTCCATTTGGGGTGATTAAAATGTTCTGGAAAATTTAGATGCAGAACTCTTGTAAATACACTAAAAGCCACTGAATTGTACACTTTAAAAGGGCAGATTTTATGTTATGTGAGTTATATATCAAATTTTAAACAGAAACAGAGTAGACAACCAGGTTCTCAAGGGGAAAAAAAGAAGTATATACCACAAAACAATGAGCCAAACCTCATGTTCTTTCTTCATAGGGGAAAACCTCAGGCCCTCACACAGAGTATTTTTATCTAGATAAAGGCCTATGTCTGGCTTATCTGGTGTCCTTGGTTGCATGTGAAGCCAGTTCACTTATGACAGTGTTCTCTAAAAACTGCCCTTCCTCACAGAGATGGCCCCAGCACCCATTTTTATGCTGTGACCTTATCAATTGAACCACAAGGGTAACCTGACCCAAACAGAGTCGATCTGATGGTCTCCTTTGGAAGGGTTGCAGTGGGAGAGAGGAGGCGCTTTGTTCTCTGCAAGTGACTAAAACTGAATTGAGTAACCTCAGGAGTTGTGGCAGAGTCATATATTTTATTTTATTATTTTATTTTTTAAAATATTTTTATTGAGTTTATTTATTTCAGACAGGAAGGGAGAGGGAGAGAGAGATAGAAACATCAATGATGAGAGAGAATCATTGATCGGCTGCCTCCTGCAAGCCCCACACTGGGAATCAAGCCTACAACCCGGGCATATGCCCCGGCCAGGAATCGAACTTGTGACCTCCAGGTTTACAGGTCGGCGCTCAACCGCTGAGCCACACCGGCTGGGCAGAGTCATCTATTTTTAAAAAATACTGATTTTAAAGAGAGAGGAAAGAGAGAGGTACATCAATTTCTTATTTCACTTATTTATGCATTCATTGGTTGATTCTTGTATGTGCCCTGACTAGGAATTGAACCCAGAACCTTGGTGTATCAGGACAGTGCTCCAACCAACTGAGCTACCTGGCCAAGGCCATGGCAGAGTCATCTTGGTGGAGAAGCCAAGGAGGGGAGCCTGCAGGATCAAAGATTGACACAGATGGGCAAAGGAGCATTGAGGTGAGAGTAAGAAAATGGCCTCTTTGGTTTTTGTTGAGTTTCTATTTCCTGGGTCTGCCCACTTTGTTCACCTTTGCCCTTAAGATTCCCATGACCTTGTAATATATGTACTTTCTTTTTTTTGAGCTGGTATGCTTCTGAAAGTTGGAATTGAAAATACTTTGGTTATGATGTTAGGTTCCAAGAGATGAAAGATATACTGTCACCAGGAATGTGGGTGTTAACTGTTTGTATGAAGGCAGCAAATTAGAAAGAGGTGGGAGGCACTGCCTGAGGACACCAGTATTAAGAACAGCAATAATAGCCCATTAAGAGAAATAAGTCCCTATAAAAAGCAGAGGCGAGAACTCCAAAAAGCTCTTCAGTCTGGGACCATTTAGTTGAGAGGCCAGCAGTGGCCAACATCGGTGTGCCTTAGGGTGTCATTTGGTTACAGCATGGTAAAGATGATGTTTGTCACAATGGCCTTGAGCCACAAAAGGCCAGTCAGATGAAGCAATATTCTTTGATGAAATGAAAAAATCGTTTACATTAAATGTTTAGGCATTGAAAGATGTAAGATTCACTTACCTGGCACAGATCTTGTGAAATACGTCATTGTATAAATAACAGATTTATGTGGACCAAATGTACAATTCCATATACCTCTAGAAATAGCTCATCTTCTAAATGAAAAACAGGTTGGTTGCAAAAGTGAATAATGAAAAATTATTTTCTAATTTTGTTTTTGCTTTCCCCATGGAATCCTTGAGGCTGAAGCTATTATAGAACAGAAAAAAAACCTGACTCTAATCTAAAAGCCCATATGCTGATCACAGATAATCCTCTGTGCTATCTGCTGCATCAGTGGGTCTCAAACCTGTCAGACCCAATGTCCCTTTTAAGATAAATATTTTCTAATATCCCTTTAGTAGCCCCGAAAGAAATTAACATGGAATAGAATCTACCTGCACTCAATTAAATATGCATATATGTAAATGTACAGTGGGGCCTTGACTTACAACTGTCCCAACTAACGAGTTTTTTGAGATACCAGCTGTCTCTCGGCAGATTTTATGCTCTGAGTTGACAGAGTAATTTGAGTTAACGAGCTCGGTCTTGGAACGAATTAAACTCGTAAGTCAAGGCCCCACTGTACAGAAGTTGAAGAGATCCAAAGTCTTTACCATGGTCATGTATCTAAGACGAAGGGAAATGTAAGGAATGGCTGGCAGCATCACTATCAACAGTATCCTGTTCTGAGCAGCCAAAAAATATCTGTCAGGTTCCAAAACACTTTCATTACCCAAGAAGGAAACCCCACATCATTATGTAGTCACTCCTCATTTCCCCTCCTCTTCAAGCCTTTGGCAACCACCAGTCTGTTCTCTATTTATATGAATTCGCCTAGGCTAGATACTCTATAAATGGAATCATACATTTGATCTTTTGTGCCTGCCTGGCTTCTTTCATTTAGCATAATGTTTTCAATAGTCATTTACGGTGTAGCATGTGTCAGTGCTTCATTCCTTTTTATGGCCAAATAATTATTCCACTCTATGGATATTCTTCATTTTGTTTATCCATTCATCTGTTGATGAACACTAGGGTTGTTTCCATCTTTTGCCTGTTGTCAGTAATGCTGCTATGAGCATTTGTGTATGGATAGCCATTTGAATCTCTGCTTTCAGTTCTTTTGGTTATATGCCTAGAAGTGGAATAGTTGGATCCTATGGAAATTCTGTGTCAGGAAGTGGGGGCACAGACCAAATATATATCTTATGTCACAGTGCCTTAATGAATATATGTATACATATATATGTACATATGTATATGTGTACATATGTACATATATATGTATCAAATGAATGTGTCAGTGAACGAGCTAACTGTAATTGGTGATATTCTAAGAAAAGGAAGGAAAAGAAACACTTCAATAATCATGAATTATACATTATTTTTTATTATCAAAACAGTCAGGTTATGACAGCTACATTGCCAAACTAGAATTAGGAAGTGTTTTAAAAAATGGTTTCCTCTAAGGAGATGAATGCAAGTTCATTACCTATTCTGCATGAAATCAGTGTTACAAGGAAGCACATCTCTGATATAGAGATGAATCAGTGAGTATTGTACAGTTATCATTAACAGAAGAATGGATTGAAGTACAGGAAGACAGGTCCTACAAAATGTGATTCTCCTTGGTGTGCCTTTGGTGATGACATTATTTTATGTAGGAGACTAAAAATAAAAATTCAAACATGATGCATGTCTTTATAGGAAGTGTCAGACATTTTACAGACTGTTGACGTCACACATCACCCTCTCACTTAAAGCATATGTGGGTAAAGGGAAGGAGAACAGTAGGTGGATCCAGTGATTAGCTGTCACCTCAAATTCTGCCTCTATCTGGGGCCTCCACAAGGTGACAGAAACTCATCAGAAATCAGGCACCAAAAAATAAAGGCATAAAGACTCAGAGGCCATCAGAATGGAAATCTGTAGCTGTTAATAGAATTCTGGAGTAAGAATCTCCATTCTGAAGAAGTCATATATATATAATCTACTTTTTAAAAAAAAACTGGAAAGGTTGCAAAAATGACAGTGCAATCTGGCCTAATGAGCTTGATTCCTGAGTTGAAAGCCAGATAAAATCCTGGATCACAAAAGAAAGCTGCTGTTTTTTTAAAAGTATCAAAAATGGTAAATCTTAGAGTATGTATAAAAAATCTGACAGGTCCTTCATTAGTCACAGTGTTGAATAGTGGTCTCTATTTATTCTTCACAATAGTTGTTTAGAAATAGTCGATTCTAGCGCCAAAACCATGAAAAGGAAATCCTGCAGGAGGATCCTAGAACCTGGGACTGTCCATTTGCATATTTTTAGAGGCTGATGTATGGGTATGATAAAGGTTTGGGTATAGGTTGCTTTTTGAGTAGCATCCAGACTGCATCTACTTTAATTGGCTGCAAAGCGCAAGACATTAAAAGCTTAAAGACGGCCTTTTCCAGTTCTTAACAGCAGTGGTTATTTCCAGTCGTAGAAATGTAATGCAATTGAAATGTATTGGGCAGCGTGGCAGTTAAATTGGATGGATTCCAGGGCTGGGCTGGTGAGTTACCCGATTCCATCTGCAGCCCTCCTAGAACTGCTGAATGGGAACCTAGGCCCCTAAGGAGCTCCAGAGGTGGTCCAGGCTACTTGAGACCTTTAGGACCAGGGAAGGTATGGGCTGAGTCTATGTCCCCAAGAGTCCAGCTTGCTCTCTTGTCCCAGTTATCTGTTGCTATAGAACAAAGAACCCAAAACTTAGCGGCTTAAAACAATTTTGTTCTGTGCATTCATGGGTCAGCTCTCACTTGGGTTGTCTCATGCAGTTGCAGACGTGTTAGCAGGCTCTGAAAGGGTCTAAAGTCTTCTCTCCCATGCCTAGTGACTGGGCTTGTATGATTTGAAAGCTGGGACTGGTCGGTCATCTCTGCTCTCCACATGGTTGCTTGGGCTTCCTCACAGCAAGGCTGTCTCAGGATAGTCAGACTTTTACCTGAGGTCTGGCTTCCTGCACAGCAAGTGTCAAGGGACAGGGAGTGGAAGTTGCCAGCCTCTTAAGACCAAGACCTTGAAACTGACCCAGCATCACTTCCACTATTGGATAAGCAATCAGAGCTGCGCAGATGCAAGGGGAGACCTAACCTTCAGGTCCTGAGAGACAAAGGCCAAGGAATTTGCAGCCACTTTGAATCCTTCACATTCTCCAACCAGGACTCAAGACCCAAAGAGTTTGTTCATAGTTGGACATTATCCTAGTCTGACCTCATAATGAGTTGCTTTGTATTCATATAGCTCTCTATGCGTTAACAAGAAAGCTTGTATACACTGTCTCAATTTTTCCTCCCAATATCTCTGTAAGAGAGTAGGTTGGATCGTAAGGCAATTGAGGTACAGAGGTTAAAGGCCTTAGATCACACAGCTTCCCAGGGGCAAAATTGAGACAGACGTCTGAATCTCTCCACTCTCAATCCATGTTGAGGGATTCTGGCTGGTTTGTTTGTTTACCCGGGTCTCTCTGCTCTCTGACACATGCAGAGTGGCAGCGGAGGAAATCTGGCCACAGATCTTGGCTGCTGAAGCTCTGGTGCAAGCAGAAGTAATTTGCCTATCACTGCTCTGTTCCATCAGTAAGGACTCTTGAAGCCACTGTACTGGCCTTCACTCTTGGGAAACTCTTTCCGGATTCTCCAGCGGCAACAGCTGGGCAGGATCGCAAAGTCAGCCAGGTCCTTGGAGCCGAAGCGCCAGGTGGCATAGCACCTGTAGGCGCAGTGCCGCAGCTGGTTGTTGGTGGCATCCGCATCCAGCTTCAGCAAGGGCTCCTGGTAGAGCAGGAGGAACTGCAGGGCACGTCTGGACAGGATGAGCTGCTTGAATGGCTCTGAGGTCGTGATGCAGGCACCTGGCTTTTTCCGACAGCACAGCTCCTCCAGGCATTGGTGACTCTTGGGGAGTTGGGATGGGAGGCAATTTCCGCACTGGCACCAGCTCGGGCTGCTGCTGGATCTGGGTGTTGCCTCCTCACTAAGTAGCTGGATTTCCTCTGGTTGCCCAGGAATGGGGGGTGGGTCTTGGAGAGACAGGGGCAGCCTGGACAAGTCTGTGAAGTCCATTAAGGGTCTCTGGAAAAGTCAAGTTTCCAAACCTATCAGCAGTGACAACCCCTAGAGTTCTAGGTTCTTTAATTTCATTATTAAATCACAAAATTACATGTAATATTACATCAGTACCGTGTGTTAAGTGTATGTATCAGGATTGGGATAGTCTTTTACAAGTATGGCCTCATTTAAGCCTTCGAAGAATCTCATGAGTTGTGTCCTTATCTCCATTGCACAGATTTAGAAAGTGAAATTCAGAGTAGCCAGGCCTCAGTGCAATTATCATCTCTTCAAAAACAGCCTGACCACCCAATCTAGGTAATGCCCCTCCCAGGTCATTCTCTTACTAGTATTGCACCATGGGATTCTCC